GCAAAACCAATAAAAAAAGCAGTCCTGGCTTAGCAGTGTTAATAATTATTAGGTCTGGAATTAAGTTCACAGATTTGCCTTTTTTCCTCATTTTTTTAAGGACAAAGCACATCAATTATTGGCTGCTACTCGTCCAAGCAATACCATTCAGAAGGGAGATAACTCATGTTAAGATTACAAATACACAGCTACTATGTGTTCAATAAAGTGAAGTGTAGAGCACTATAAAGTTGTTTGAATCTGAGATGTGATCAATCAGGGTCAACAGTAAATATTTTTGAGAGCTAGCCTCTTATCAGCGGCAGGTTTTAGTATCTAGAGACCGGATACAGTGTGGACAGTAAAAACTACCACAATGTTTACCATTGTCAAACAAAGCTAGTGTCAAGGTCATGCATGATTCTGTTGATAACACGGGGTAAAAATAACTTAATAATTTTTGTTAGTACATAAATGTTTGTATTTACTGGGTAAAACATTCTGATAAAACAGATATTTGGTACTGTGACTGTTTCAGCATTAACTAGATTGGTAGTTTCTGGTGTAATCATACAAAGTTTTCATAAAAACAATAATAAGTTGATGAGAAAGTTTGGTTGCCGTGGTGAAAGGTGGGTTTGTTTAATAGATATAACCTTATGGGCAATAGTCAACTCCGGTCATAATCTAGTCTCAGATACACATTTCCATAGTCAGAGCAAAAGTTTGTCACCTTATAGAAAGAATGTGATGAAACGATGCTAGATACATGAAAACTCCTCCTTATTCCTCCCACAGAAAAAGATTCTACAATCCAACAAATAAAAAGTTCCTAACTCCTAGTTTTGCTATGGGACAACAGGTCATTTCTGATTTTTCAGTCACCTTAATTAGAAGGCAAGGAAAACACTAATTCTGGAGAGCCCCTACGTTTTTAGTTACATATGATAGAAAACAGTTAAAATTTCTTCTGAAGTCTTGAGAAACCTGCTGGGTTTTATTTATAGGTATTACCCCCTGATGACATGATGGGAATAGACTAGACGTGATAACAAGTCAACCTGAAAGGAGTTCACCTGTCAAATTCAATACAGATAACTCCTGACACACCCACTGACCACCACGAAAACCAACCAACCAAAATCTTGTCATTACACTCTGTGAAATGTTTATACCCCTGTAATTTTCATACTGACCATTAATGCTATGTAATTCCTTGGGCATCACCTGAACTATCTACCACAACAGAGTCAATGCAATCTGTACCTCAAAGATTTGTCAACTTTTTAATCATTGTTTGGACGATGTTGTATTCTATATAATATATTTTGCATATAGAGCATATAGAGCTATTACATGCCTTATCATAGAAATACTCTTGTCACCATTCATCATTTTAGAATTAGACTTTTTAGTCAATGACAAACATTTTGTGTTTTCAAGGAGTTAGCTCCCTTGAAGATATAAGCACATTCACCCTGCTATTCATAATAATCTTATATGCTGTGGATCAGTTACCAATTATGAAATATATTCCTCTCTTTTCAGAAAATAGTGTATACAGGTGATAGAAGACAGCAAGCATCCTTTATTACAGTGTATGTCTCTAACTAAAAATAGCGACACATGACAAGAAAAATTCTTCAATATCATAGACAATGTGAATGAACCGTAGAAAGTGGAGTATTTCTATATAAAAAAAAAAGAAAATCTGTTTTTTATGATGCGTTAATGTCGTCTATTCAAATCTCATTATTTGGAATAATACAAAAAAAGGTGACATTTTTTCATAGATAAAGTACAAATGAAATGTTAGATATGGACAAGACGACTATGATAGAACAGGCCCGACACCCTACAGGTAAATAGTTGTGGTTGTTTTGTAGGTGGAGTGAGTTAGGTCTTACGCTCCATTAGGTCCAAAAGGGACGTCGACAATGGGTCTTTGGGCCTTACTCACCTATTCACAAGGTGTCACAGTCGACACTGATAGGGTATATACTAAATACTGTATAGCATTGAACACATATATCATAAACTTTCAGAGAATTCTGCCCCATCATCATCCTAAGTCATTTATTTCAATTACTAGTTTTTCAAGTTATCAATGTCATATAAAATACTCCACAATCAAATGATTTGCAAAAGTAGATTAGACGATGTTCATATTGACCAAACTTGAATGGATAAACATCAGTCAATTAATATGTAGCTAGGTCAAATTTCGATGACAATGAAAAGCTAGCTAACATGGGATTGATTCTTATTCAACATCCAAGCTGTTGCGACTGATATCAAAACACGAACATTCAAAATCCACCATGGTCGGGCTAAGCTAACTTAATCTGTTGAAGTATTAATATTCAACTTTATACTTCTTGGCCCAAAATGTGAACAGAACTTCTCCCATAATATGCATTTCAGTAGTACTATTTGGTTCATCTGCAATAAGCACACCCCAAACTGCAAGTCAGCATATTTGCCTCCCATTCTTTTCTTCAGGATAAATACAGTAACAAATGAAATTTATCTCTTTAAACCAGCATTGGTTATTCTACTTTTACAAACTCCAGGTAAATATTTAGAATGCCAATAATTAATACCAGATATATAGATTTACAAATTTTGCTGTTTTATCACAAATCATGATCTAAAACCGGAATGTTTATGAATTTATCACAATTCTACATACTTTCATCAGAACAAATTTCTACTGATAAGCATTCAAACAAAAATAAAGAAATTATGAAGAAAAAGGCTGGTTGGACAAATTACCTCCCTTTATGCATCATTGACTATTCTAGTGTTTACAACAAAAATATTTATACAGGATACCTATGCAACATCAAAGTATTTGAAATATTTGTGAACAGAAATGAATATAAACAGCTTGATGACATACCAGTATACAGTGCACTGGCAAAATTCTGATTACCTATGCAGGGTTAGAAAGTGCACATCTTCAAACAACTTAACAATAAATGAATAAACTGTTAAACGCAAACATGTACTACTAACTAACAGCATTCATCTTCATAAAGCCCCCAGGTAACTCAGAAATCAGGACAAAAACGATTTTACGAGGATCACATGCCAAGCTTTGAAGAAATAACATAGATATTGTTTGCAGAATTTGATCCATCGACACGGCTGTATTAAAAACAGTCTTCTATACAAGCTACCAGATTACCACACCTCAGATAATTACCACTTAAGATAAGTCAGAATGGTTTGAACACCTGAATATGATTAAATTATGATAAAAATGGCCGACTTTCATGCTATTGATGGTATATTTACTCAGACAACTACATCAAAAGCCCACATTCCACATTAATCAGGTTGGTTATGCCAGGTACGAAACTGAAGTTTAGACGAGCACAGAACAGATAATATATTACATATGTAAATCTCCAAATTTATCTTGAATCAATTGAATATTTTAGTATTACGTATGTCTTCATGTCAGTTTAAATAAGTTATTAGAATTGAAATTAAATCCAAATCTGTTTTTTATTTCTGTCTTTTCATTTTATTATTTTAAACTATTTCCTACAACTTAGTCCTTTGTTGAGAAAACATTTTGACGTTCATTAACACATTTTACAAAATAAAGTTTTATATCTTCCAGACAGCATTCAAATTTCTGGGAAAAGATATCACAGTCTGAAAAGGAGACTCTGAGTCATTTTTTCTCCACAGTAAAAATCTGCTAACATTCAATTGAAATGACATGAATTTATCAACTGTCCCTAATTTATACTCTTCTGGGTTAAAGAAAAGTTTGTCTACAGCAGGACTGGTCAGTATAGGTAACATTTACACTTACCCGAACATTCAAGGTCATGACAAAGCTCCTGTCACTTACATATATACCTCTAAAGCAGAAAACGTCCTGGACATAAAAACTGGCCACAACATAAATTGAACAATATTAAAATGTCTTGTGTTGGAGGCTATCACAACTGCTCGATAAGCAGACCCCAACTCACACACGCCAAAATCAATATCAACCCATCAGCTGCCACAAATCAATCCATCCAGCATTGTTCATGTGTAAAAAATTCCACACACAGCACATGTCTTTTGTGTGAAATGTAAATGGATGTAAATGGTGAAAATCTGTGAAATCTAGCCTGAATCAGTTGGTGACGCTGATAGGCAATTAGAAGCGATCCGAAATGAATCTTGTGATCAATATGTCTCCCAGCTTTACTTAATGCTATGAGGAAATAAGACCCTGAATCAATGATGTGAAATGTTGGTATCAATACTGTCCCATACCTGAATTAATTGATTGGCTTCAAGATATGGTAATCCTGTCAAATTTGACCTTACTTTCACCTGCACAACTCGATAAGACGATTAACATTGCAGTTAATTGTAGAATGACAGACTTTCCAGTTTGACAGTATCCTTTCATCAAATAAATGATCAACTAAGTCATAACAAGGTATATGTACAAAATGTTTCTTCAATGACATGAAAATCCAGATAGATTATAAATGATCTCACCTGCATAATTATCAATTATCATACAATAATGAAATCTATATAAGATTTCTATTGATATTCCAGGATGTGTTCATAAATTTTGTGTAATTTTTCTGTGTTTTTAAGGTGGGGAGGAGGGGGGTTGAGAAGCTTTAACTTGATGTGTCCATCAAGTTTTATCTTTGATGTTAAGGAATAAAACAATCAAAAAATTATTAAAATGATCAATTGCAGACAAGATGTGACATGTCTGACAGATGAATCATTAATTTATACTTTTGTAATAGTAACATTAATTCATCTTTTGTTATAGTAACAAAAATTCATGCTTTGTAATAGTAACATTAAGTCATACTTTTGTAATAGTAACAAAAATTCACTTTGTAATAGTAACATTAAGTCATACTTTTGTAATAGTAACAAAAATTCATACTTTTGTTAGAATTACAGTATTAATGAGTGAACAAAATTAACGTCTACTGCAGGTTTACAGGTTTTTTCACATAGCAACATTCAGTGACACTTACCCTGGGAAGTATGCCACTGACTGGTGCCAATCTGGGTGGAGCTATCTCTGAATCATCCCCCTGCATTCGGACTTGACCATTTACAATACTATCATAGTTATTTTCCAGCAAATCATTGCTATGACAGTTTCTCACATTGCTAGTGCTGTTACTATTATTAAGGTTTCCTGTCATGCCGACTTTTAATCCAGAAGGTGTCCATGTTTTCCGTCGAGATGGAGGATGTAGATGCTGATTCTGTTGATTGCCCTTGTAATACTGTGTGACACTGCCACCATTACTGTGTCCATTGCTATGATTATTTCCACGACTATTTCCATGGCCACTGTTGCTATGACTGCCATGCCCGTTACCATGGCTTGTCGAGTAGGACCTGTGTGTATAATCTGACATAAATGATGACACACTTGAAGTCCTCAGTGGGGGGTCCGGGGCAACAGGGGCAGATAACTTGCGATTAGGAGTATACTGAATGTGTGAATAATCATCGTACTGATTACTGGGAGTACTATACTCCGAGTCAAACACAGAATTGAGTATTTCCTGCGACTGCATAGAGAAGTTTGACATTGGAGAGTAGAGTTGTTGTAACCGTGGTGACAGCTCCCCATCTGTGAACACCAGGTCTGAAGTGGAGTTGGTGCGACTAGCCATGTCTGTTATACCATGTCTGAAACACACAAAATAAGGCTTCATCTAAAAACACAAAAATCACAACCACTGACTTTTTGATGATGTTGGCATAAAAACTCATCAATTATGTTAATTATAAGTTGCCTGCCAAGATGAAAAACATGTATTTCACATAATGCAAGACAAATATTTTATAATCGACCAGGAATAATCAGTGCTCTATAATACAATTTGGAAACAACATCAAATCTCCATCCTAGTACGTAATCAATGTGATAAATAAACAGTTTTTATATATATCAATAGTCATTTATTAATCATTATTATGAAGGAAGTTAAAAAACAAAAGTAGATTTTCATGTTTGACTGGAAAGGAACAGAACAACTCGGTTGTCCCACACAGAATGTAGAATCACATGGAAAACAAACCTTCTTGAAAGTAAGTCAAAGGTCAAAATGTAGGTCAGAGTGACCTACGTTTGATGCATGACACATTGCTTCACCAACTCTAGTGAGCTATGAAGGTATGAAGTCATTCTGACGAGTTGTGTGAGAGATTAGAGCTTGGACAAACTTTTATTTTGATGTAAGTTTAAAGGTGAAATGTAGGTAATTGGCCTTCTTCTGATATACAACAATTCACCTCTCTAAGGTGAATAAACAATTATAAAGTTCTAGTGACAGGAAGTATAGGAGAGAGAGTCCGAACAAGATAGAAAAGAGATGGATAGAAGGATGAAAGGAAGAACAGAAGGACTGACAGATACAATGCAAAATTATAGTCCCCCTGGTTCCTGGTCTGGTGTGGCATTGATGACCTAATAAATGACATGAGATTATATGTAGTGAACTGTCCATGAAACAAAATTGCCAATATCATTCCTTAGATATAAAGATACGTAACCTTTTAAACAAACATGTATATTGTTTTCAAGAAAATAAAGTGAGAAATTTTCACTTCTGAAATCATATCATTAAAGCGTATCACAATCATTAATATTGTTTATGTTCTACAAATATTGCACCAAGAACTGGAACTGTATTTAAATATATATCTTAAGTAAATAAGATTATAATGACCTCATTTCAAATTCATAACTGTTGGATGTTCAAGAATAAACCCTACCATATACTGTCCCATCAATCAATTTTGTATAGTAATTGTTGATGCCCCAGTCAAATCTTGAAACCAGCATCCCTTGAACAGTAAAACCCGTGAGGCTGTCACCTCACCTATTGTCAATAGATTCAAATTATGAAATATTTCAACATTTCTACAAATGGAACATATGAATATATAAATGAAATATAGAGACAGACATTTTCAAGAAATATTAAAACTTGCCTTAGTGAAAACACCTGCCTGAGTTCAGGAAATGATCTGATGGTATGTGTCAACTGGTCCTACATAATGTACGCATCACCAAATCCTTAGTATTTCTTACTAGATATATGTACAGTTACTTCTCGTGGCTCATATAAATATCTACTGATACTTCTAATGTATTACAGAAATAGGCTTGAATCACTCATTTATAACCAAATATCTGTATGACAGACAAACTACATACCTGTATTTCTGACACACACAGGTGTGGGTAGGTGTAAATTTTACAGGTAACACATCATCGTCTTCACTAACAGATAGAGCTGACTTTCCAGAGGCGAGATTTTTGCACGAGATATCGATACACTTGATAACAATATACATGCATTTCCACTACCCTTTTGTGAAACTGTAATCCACAAAAAACCTCAACTGGATGTCATTATTCACAAATGCTTCCAGTTAAAAAAAAAATAATCTTAACTGTTAAACTGTCTGCACTGTCTCTAGGAATTTAAAAAAAGGAAATGTGAACAACAAAATGCAAGAAATCATTTCAGCATCAATAACTTCCACTGAAAAGTTTTATCGCCTGATCCAAAGTAATTAAGTGTGTTTCCTAAGATTGTCTACATCAGAGTATCCAGAATAGGTAACATTAACACATTACACACAAAAGAATCCAAACTAACCAGCACCAACAAACACATCCAGACAAATATTTTAGATCTCCAGACTAAAAAGGTTCCACCATACATTTAAACTCCAACAAGGTTCCACCATACATTTAAACTCTAACAAGGTTCCACCATACATTTAAACTAAAGTGTCCACACTAACAAGGTTCCACTGCATATTTAAACTAAAGTGTCCAGACTAACAAGGTTCCACTGTACATTTAACCAAAGTGTCCAGACTAACAAGGTTCCACCATACATTTAAACACTAACAAGGTTCCACCGTACATTTAACCAAAGTGTCCACATTAACAAGGTTCCACCGCATATTTAAACTAAAGTGTTGAGACTAACAAGGTTCCACCATACATTTAAACTAAAGTGTCCACATTAACAAGGTTCCACCGTATATTTAACCGTACATTTAAACTCTAACAAGGTTCCACCGTACATTTAACCAAAGTGTCCACATTAACAAGGTTCCACCGTACATTTAAACTCTAACAAGGTTCCACCGTACATTTAACCAAAGTGTCCACATTAACAAGGTTCCACCGTACATTTAACCAAAGTGTCCACACTAACAAGGTTCCACCGTACATTTAACCAAAGTGTCCACATTAACAAGGTTCCACTGTACATTTACCCAAAGTGTCCACACTAACAAGGTTCCACCGTATATTTAAACCAAAGTGTCCACACTAACAAGGTTCCACTGTACATTTAACCAACGTGTCCACACTAACAAGGTTCCATCGTACATTTAACCGAAGTGTCCACACTAACAAGGTTCCACTGTACATTTAACCAAAGTGTCCACACTAACAAGGTTCCACTGTACATTTAACCAAAGTGTCCACACTAACAAGGTTCCACCATACATTTAACCAAAGTGTCCACACTAACAAGGTTCCACCGTACATTTAAACTCTAACAAGGTTCCACCGTACATTTAACCAAAGTGTCCACACTAACAAGGTTCCACTGTACATTTAACCAAAGTGTCCACACTAACAAGGTTTCACCGTACATTTAACCAAAGTGTCGACACTAACAAGGTTCCACCATACATTTAAACTCTAACAAGGTTCCACCGTACATTTAACCAAAGTGTCCACACTAACAAGGTTCCACTGTACATTTAACCAAAGTGTCCACACTAACAAGGTTCCATTGTACATTTAACCAAAGTGTCCACACTAACAAGGTTCCACTGTACATTTAACCAAAGTGTCCACACTAACAAGGTTCCACCGTACATTTAACCAAAGTGTCCACACTAACAAGGTTACACTGTACATTTAACCAAAGTGTCCACACTAACAAGGTTCCACCGTACATTTAACCAAAGTGTCCACACTAACAAGGTTCCACTGTACATTTAACCAAAGTGTTGAGACTAAAAAGATTTGTTTCACAGTTGCACAAAACAAAGTGTTGAGACAGCAATATTAAGGTTCCATTTTACACACAAACCTAAGTCTCCAAACTAACATAGATCTAATGATGCACAAACCAAACTTAACATCCAGACAAACAAGGATCCACTTTACATATAAACTAAATTTTTCTAGTTAATAATTGAGGTTCTACGTATACAAATTGTACAGACTAATAAGGTTTGCAAAACATGCATCTAATGACAGAAGAAAGCTTTTATCTGGACTGATGTAGAAAGAACCTCTTGGTAAGATGTAAACAAACTGAGACTACAATGGAATAAATCTCACCCGTACAATAAACTGATATCAAACAGACACAAACTGTGAAATAATGCTGCTCACCAACTGGGCAATCATATACCTACCAAATAATTGTGCATCTTTCCTTGATGTTTGATCCAACAATCCTACAGAAAACACTAAGGATGTCTAGTGTTAGACATGTGCTACAAAACTTCCCACATAAGAAGTATACCACTATGTTTTGAATTTCACATGATAGACACCAGCAAGAACTGTGATTCCCTGAGAGTTTTTTAGCAGCAAGTTAAATTTTTTTCTTTGAAGAGACAATTGTTAACAGATGGCTGACACCAGTGTCCAGACCAGATCCTCCAAGTACATAGAATGATCTGAAACAAACCTAACATGTCTAGTGTTTACAGGAAATGAATATCCTTGAGGGATACAAGGTCAACTCTCACTGGCTGGTCTACTATTGCTACAGTAAAAGTAAACCATGGGGGTCGACATTGAAATATATATTAAGCGGTTGTTGGGCTTATTCAAAGAAAGTTATATCGTACTTGTTAGTTTTTTTTAACGGAATTTCAATGAAAATAGACAGGCTTAATATTACATTATCAGACTCCAGTTTATTGCTGGATATAATAAGCATTTGCCTCTGATCATCGTTTTCTGGTCTTTCTTTCAGGTTCATGATACAAGGCAGGAATAAGTCTCAATACATATGTGAGGACAATAAGCCATCAGGTGTAATCTCTATGAGGGTATATCTGTTTGGCAATAAGCCATCCACAGTGATCAGTGTGAAGGTACATTGGTTAAACAATAAGTCATAAGATTTCAATGGAACAGTAACACTGCTGTGCAATATCACCTGTGGTTTTAAAAAGGATATTTCTGTTTGGCAATAAGCCAACTGATGTGCTTTGCTTGACGATACCTCTTTTTGACATTAAGTCACCAGAGGTGGTCAGTTTGAGGGTAACTCAATTGGACATTAAGTAACCAGAGGTGGTCAGTTTTGAAATATTTAAATAAATAAAGTTACACATGTGATTGGTTTTAAAGACACAATAATCTTCTAATTCAAAATATCTAGAAATTGTGTAATACAATAAATGAATAAACCAATAAACAGATGGGACGTGACTCAGCAATATCACAGGGAAAACAGGACCTTTATTTTCCAACAGGGAAGTAATCGGATACGTTTGGAATGTCCAACATCTCATTATTGGAAATAATCTGGAGCTCACTAGTACATAACATTAAACATCAGGTCATTGTTTCTGTTCCCCGTTGTAACAGGGAGACGTAAGACAGCTATTAGGGAGGGGCAGGTCAT